ATGACAGTAATGGGTCCAACTTAAATATGTATATACATTTCAGGATGTGGTGCATCTTTGGGAATAATCACTCTGGATCTAAAATAAACTGCTTTCAAAATATGGCTTTCCAAAGAAAAAGTGGTCTCTTGGGGGCAAACTGAGCCTAGAGAGAGGGTAAGTTGAGCCACATGGAGTTAAACTGTGCCATTGATTATGCTGAAGTAAAACTGAACATTTTCACCTCATGCTATATCAAAGGAAGAGAAATTTAATAAAAATGAATTTGTAGAATCTATGTGTAAACCTTGTGATGAACTGGTCATGCAGAGTTTCCCCACCTGTGGGGTTAGGCTCCAGCTCCCCACGACCCTAATAAGGACAAAGAGGTTTGGATAATAGAATGGATGTCTTCATAAAAGTTTTATTTAAAGATACAGTTCACATCTTTGAAGGCATTTCTAAAATTACTTAAAAAAATGTAAGAACAAAAAGTTCAAATTGAATTACTGAAATAAATGAACTTTTCCACGACATTCTAATTTATTGAGATGCACCTGTAAATACATTAATTGATTTTAAATAATAAATAAATTAATACAAAAATGGACTGCAATTGATCTTACAGAACTCAACATTATAAATGTTCCAGGGAAATACAATTTCATAAAAACTTCAATGGCCAGTTTTCATAAACAAGGCCTTTTAAAAATTTCAGAACAAAATCAAGTACAAAACAAAAGACAAAATAAAAAACATTTGGTCTAAAATTAATGAAACAATGTAGAATTGCAGTAGAATAATACTTTATAATCATAAGAGGTGAGACATTGGCTCAACTTACTCCAGGAATTTTGGCTCACATTACCCCACTCCTACCAATTTAACAAACTTGTATCATCCAGCAGTTTAGGGCTAACATCTTGCTAACAGTACAGCCTTATATTATAACATATTATATAAGTTATAATATAACTTATATTATAACCCCCCCCAGAGGTCAAAAAAGACCAAAATACAGATAAGACAGAAATAGAAAAGATTTAATGTATTTGTTTTATTACAGCTAAACCGCTCTCTACATAAACAAGTAACATTCATTAAGTAAACAATGTATCCCAATTCAAATAATAAATAATTCATATAATATTTTGTACAAACTGTTATTGGTTTCCTGTACATAATGGTTTCTCTCATAGCGTACCATACAGTAAAAGAAGAACTTAAGGCAGAGAGTTCATACTTGCCAGTTACTGGTACAGCTTTAACAGACTGACTGTCTAGTGGTATATTTCAAGGACGTAGCAGATCAGTGGGCACATGAAACGTATGATTTCAGTGCAAAGTCAAATGGGAGATTTGTGCAGAATGACAGCGGTCTCAATTTTGTGTGCCATCATGTAACTCAGTGCAAAGGTAAAATATATAAATTAAACAAGCATGGGTTCATCAATCCAATTGTTAATTTGCAACACTGAAGACAAAAATCACTCATGTAGAAAGGTTTGTGGACTCTTTTGTGTACTGGCTGACATCAAAGAGATTAAAAGTGTGCTAACATTCATCCAGGCCCAACATTAGCTGTTCCACAACCCTTTTTTTAATGCACAAGAATCAATGACAAATCAAAAACAATAAAGCCAGAGGATGTGCACACACAGCTGGCTTCTATCCTTTAAACAGTTTCATTTCAACCAAAATTGAATGTGACACAGCAAGTATGATTGTGGAATTAATGCCTCAGATGTCTCATATAGTACAAATATGAGAGAAAGAGAGACAAGGACACGTAATTAGCTACTTGTACAATGCAAAGCAAGTGTTAAGAGCTTTTGAAATAATTACAAAATGCATGAAAGTAACGCATGATCAAACATAGTAAAAATATAATATATAGATAAAATAAATAAATGTAATTTTAAACAGACGAAAACAGACAGCACAGATTATGCTGCAATAAGGTCACCCTCCAAGCACACTTTGAAAATCTATAAAGCTAAATCTCAATTGTAGCCCACCTGAAGCCCAAACCACACAGACCTCGAGAAAATGACATTTCATACATGGCGTTCTCGACATTTAAAATGGAATAACGCCATTCACTGAAGGAGACACCAAATGGAAATGGCAAATGCGTTTAGCCATTTTTACACAAAGCTGTCAACTAGCATTCAATAGCTGGAATCTTGGGACCAAATTTGGATCTGAAGGTCTGCTGGCGTGGGATATTACACTTCTGTAAGATTCCTGTCTTGAGGAAATAATTATTGTCTGCACTACGGCTACTGCAACATCACTCTGGTTATTTTTCTGTCATATCTGCAACAAACTAAATGAGGTATGCTATAGTGTCTGATACCCTCAACGCTGTTTTTGCGAACCACACCTCATCTTTTGAGGTTTAGCTCAGACAAACAACATCAAAGGATATGAGATCATGAAAAAAGTACAAGAGTTTAACCTCAGGAACTAACCAGCAAAACTGGGCACTGAAACCAAACTCCGCTTCTTACATACTTAATGTGGTGATGGAAGAGAAAGAATGCGCAACTGGAATAAGACGTGACCTCTGTCGACTTTTCAAGCATGTCGTGGCTAGATTCTGTATTGGCATAAGGGAATGCTTCTGTACAGCATACATCCTACATAACTTAAAAGCAATAAATTACCTGCACAGGATAATGGCATTAAATAACGTGATTTTCCCTCGCTGATCAAACAATGGCTGAGGGAAAGAGTCTTAGAAAAAAAAATGATAAAGATGACCGCCATTCTATTACTTTGACTGAAATAATTATTTGAAGTGAAATAAAATAGCAAAAAGTATAAAAGGTACAGAATAAGATAATCAAGGAACAACACAGAGCAGTGAAAAACATCTTCAGTATCCATGGAGAAAATACCAACTGAAGTCACTCACTGGGTAGGCAGCGTCCTATTGTTTATATACAAAAGTAAAACTGAAAATAGATTTTTCTTCTCTGTACACAGCAATTTTATTCTTCTCTTTACAAAAGTCTTTGTTCTCTTTTTTTTTTCTCCCCACCTTCCATCCAATTCACATCTAAATCCTATCACGAGTGCACAAAGCTCCTTCTGCGCCCTCCTTTTGTTTGTGATAAAGGCTTGTCTGTTTGCAGGGCGCCCCGGTGTGGTCAGTCCAGTGAAATTACGTCAGGGATAGAGCCGTATATTACGGATGTGGCGGCGGCATCAGAGTGCGAGCGGGACACGTTACTGTGTGGGTGGCTGTCTCTCAGACTGCTGGAGGACACCAGACTGCTGCTGCTTCCACTGCTGCTGCCTCCGCTGCCGTTGGCTGGCACTAGTGAGCTGCTCGCCGGCGTCCCCGACTGCTCCAGGAAGAGCTGAGAGGAACCATAGGGCATGAAGCGGTTCAACAGCAGCTCGTGGTCTTCTGACGCAGAAGCTGAGGCGGCGGCTGCAGCGGCCATGACCATGTTATAATGCTGTGGAGAGGATAAAGATCAACAACTTAAGGCTATGCTGATGTTTAAGAAAAAAATACATGGCCCAGTTTCACAGACAGGGCTTAGACTAAGCCAGGATTAGGCCACAGTTCAATTAGGACATTTAAGTAATTTTTATAAACATGCTTAGAAAAAAACATTACTGGAGTGCATCTTGAGACAAAACAAAGGCACTGATATATTTTAAGATCAATCAGTGCAAGTTTCTTTCAGTTGAAACAGCTAAGACTTACATTTTAGTCTAGGACTAGGCTTAAGCCTTGTCTGTGAAACCGGGGGTATATGTTAATTGTGCATCCAATCCATTTAATTCGGCACCAGATGTGGTTAAACATAGGCGTTTGTTCGAGCACAATGCTGCCCTCTAGCAGTGATGTGCTGCGTGAACCTACCTGGTGATTGTCCCCTTGTAAAAATGAGAAGAAATTCAGATCTGTCGAACAAGAAAAAAAGTTGTTTGGCATAAATTTGTTAAGTTTTTATATTTTTAAAATCCTAAATCTTTGCTTATTGGATTAAATAAAAAGAAATCCCAGATTTAATATACAAAGATTACATTACCAAATTATGTGTTAAATGATGCAAAGGAAAAAAATGATTAAACTCATCTAAACTACATTGATCAAAAGTGGATGTAAAGCCTTTTGTAATATTACAAAAGATTTCCATTTCAAATACACGCTGTTCTTATGAACTTTCTATTCAAAGAATCCTGAAAAAAATAATGTATTATGGGTTTCACAAAAATATTAAGCAGCATGACTTTTTTCAACATTGATAATAATAAAAAATGTTTCTTGAGCACATTTTTGTCATCACAGAAATATATTCCATCTTAAAATATAGTAAAATAGTAAAACATTTTCACAACAATACTGTTTTACTGTATTTGTGATTTATTAAAAAAACAGCCTTGGAAGTAGGGCTGTCACGATTATGAAATTTGGCTGACGATTAATTGTCTAAAAAATAGTCACGTTATTGCGATTAATTGTCTGTTTTAGGGCTTTGGCGATTATGACGATTATCGCGATTAATTGTAATTAAATAATTAATTTTATGGCTTTCATTATATAATTGTGATTAATTTAAGGGTTCAGTAAATAATTACTATACAGTGCATGAAAAGCAAACTGGTGCTCTTCCGTTTCTTTTGGTGTATGACTCCCCCTTGTGTCATATAAAAAGCACAATAATCGCGGTTGTCTGAAACAACCGCGGTTAGATCAAATAATCGCGATTAGACGGTTATTTAATTATCGCGACAGGCCTACTTGGAAGCATAAAATACATTTTAAATTCTTTCAAAATGTTACAGACCCCAAACTTTTGAATGGTAGTGACAACCAAGGCAAGTGAGCATGAGCTAGTAGGAACATTCTTTATTAAATATGAGGAAATATTATTTTAGTGGAATGATGACGGTACCTGAGAGGTCATTGGGTGTGTGGTAATAGTGACGGTAGTCTTGAATGAGAGGAGGGGGAGGGATATAGTTTGTCTCCATTGCTGGCATGCTGGGAGCCCGTGCCAACGGAGACGCCTGATGATGCAGATTTAACACTCTGCAGCAAAATATAACAAAATTATAAAAATAAAAAAAACTAGTGAGATATTAAAATAATATTTTAAGAAACACAAACATTGGCTCCAATAATTATCAAAACATTAAAAATCACATTTAAAAATGTGAATATCTTTGCATTATATGACAAAATATGAATCAATGTGGCATTTATAATCACTCACAAATACACTTTTCAAAAAAAGGTTTTAAAACATTTCACAAAAATGTTGGGTTTTAAATGTTAAAACAATAAACATACTGTTCAAAATAAATATAAATTCTCACCCTTTGTTGACAGGCGGGGAGGTTGGTGATAGAGATGGGCAGGCTCTTTTAGGAGGAGGCTCATCATTATCATCATAATCATCATCAGAGGAGCTGTCCAGCGTCAGGTCAATCACCTCCAATTTCTTACTGCTACTGCTGCTGCCGTGGGACGAACTGTTTCTGTGGTCTGACACAACTGACAAAACAGACCTCCCTGAATCAAAAAGAATGTAGTATGCATTGCAAATGTCTACACTTTTTTATATATAGACTTGAGACAACTGTCTACACTCTTCATAACAAACATACAATACCTTCAATGCCATTTGATGAGGCTGACACTTCCTGTACCACCTTCTTGGATCTCATAGGAGCCCAACTGCCATCTTCTTTAAACTGGATCTCATCACAGTCCACACAGCTGCTCAGGATCTCCATGAACAACCTGTACACAGACAAACACGCCCTTAAAAAACACTTTCTCAAGACTTTTTCCAGTTTTGACAGTATAAGCTACTGTTCAAAGTTTTTTAATAGAAAATAATATTTTTATTCATCTAAGATGCATTCAATTGATCAAAAGTGAAAGTAAAGACATTTATAATGTTACAAAAGATTTCCATCCAAATAAATGCTTTTCTTTTGAACTTTCTACTGAAGAATCCTGAAAAAAAAATATGGTTTTTAGAAAAATATTAAGCAGCACAACAATTTTTAACATTGATAAGAAATGTTTCTCAAGCACCAAATCAGAATGATTTCTGAAGGACCATGTGACACTGAAGACTGGAGTAATGGCTGCTGAAAATTCAGCTTTGCCATAAGAGGAATAAATTACATTTTAAAATATATTCCAAAAAAAAAAAGTTATTTTAAATTGTAATAATATTTCACAATATTACCATTTTCACTATATTTTTAGTCAATTAAATGCAGCCTTGGTGAGCATATGAATTCTTTTAAAAACATTTTAAAAATCCTATCGACCCCAAATTTTTTGAACGGTAGTGCATAAATGCTCATATTACACATTAGACAATGATGTACATTGCTGTTCAAAAGTTTGGCATCAATAATATCCCTTTTCCACCAGCATGAACCGGGTGTTAGTTCAAAGCCAGTGCTATTGCCGGTTTGGAGTTGGTTCAACTGGCGAGCCTCCTAAGAACCGGTTTGCCTTTTCACGGGCTAGAGAGCCACCACAGAGCCAGGTTTTACGTCACTGAATACGTCTCATCTTTCTCAGTAACACTAGCATGGCAGCGCCAAACACAACAGGCTTGTTCGAGATGCATTGGCGCAATGCAGACCGATCGGCGCACGACACCAAAGCACCGCGAAAGCAATCCAAAAGCATAAAGAGAGTCATCTGCTTTCCAATCACTCCCGCGGCACACCGACTGGACCGCACAGCGCTGATGCAGTCCGAACAAGCCTAAACACACAATCAACAGTGGTGGACGTTGCATTGCTATTGATGTTCATGGCTTTGCGAATCTACATCGGCATCCAAACACGGCGAATTCAACGTGTTCGTGGTTAGCTGATATTTCAAAAATGGATTGGCCCACAATCACAGGTGTAAAAAGTGAGAGTAGCACTGACCCGTCAATAATAAGGTGCTCAAATGGGGCTTTCTTGTCGCAGACCGGACACACCCAGGTGGGTTTCTTCTCATTCATTTGGATGTAGAGCGTAGCATCAAAGCACTGCAGGTGTGAGCAGGTGAGCGCTCGGCAAGGAATCATCAACCGCATCTTTCCCAGCTGTTCATTTACACACAGATAGACACACATTATGTCAGCATACATTATAATGCCACATATTGCTTTCAAACTTTATAACTGAATGATGATTATAGAGAACTTTCTTATCTCTAAACTGCTAGCTTGTGGCTTATTCTCCATTGCTCAAAAATATTAAACTGACAAAGAACACAATATGGGAAATCAGAGAGTCATAAGCAGAGCTCGGTGGCCTCAGTGAAAAGAAGCAGAGTTTCATTATTCTGACAAAATGATTAATGCAATTGTGTTCAAAGGAACGTTACAAGGTTTAACAGAACCCCTTGAAGAGAATAAAATCTTTCTTCAGGGTTGATGGTCCATTACATACCGGACAGAGCAAGGAGACTCGCAGGCTGGTAGTGGCAATCTCACTGTCAGGGTCGGCAGTAAGCTTTTCTTTGACTGAAGAGTGAGCACAGAACACAAAATCAATCAGATCACTTGATTTACAACATTGAATATCTCCCATCATATTCACACACAGCTAACAGGTAGCTCAAGTAAGACTTGTAACTTTGCAGGTTATTGGAAAAAAGCGTTATTTTGATAATCACTTAATTAAAGGGGTCATATGATGCTGCTAAAAATAACATAATTGTGTATTTGGTGTAATGAAATGTGTTTATGCCTTCCCAGATAGTGACGTAGGTATGTGGGGGCGTGTTAGCGCGAGCCGTTTTAGGTAGGTGTGGCTGACTCTTAACTTTTATAAAGAATATCTCTTTGGATTTGAGACTTTAGTCTTTGCAACTTTACAGATCTTCTTTATGCACCAAGAGCTTGTAACACTCCAAAAAGAAATCGCATCATATGACCCCTTTAAAACAATAGTTGCAGGTGTTGAATTGGAGCATTGGTAGGTGAATGCCTGAATATCCTAAGAAAATGTTGCAAAATGAAGTGGAAGAAATTCGCACTTGTTGTCTGGTTAACATTCAGCTATATTAAGGTTCAATTCAACTGTTGTAAGTCCAGAGTTAACATACTGAGTGCTCTTGAGTGGTCTGGGTTTCTAATGCCTTTTGACCGTAGTCTCTGTAGCAAAACTGAGGAGGACTGCTGACGGACCAGGTACACTGCCATGGAGTAACTCTGTATGGACAACAAAGTATTTAAAACACATTCTGATGGTGGTTTTCAGAAACAGATTTCAAACAGATTTACATTCATTACCCTTCCGATTTCCGACGTCCATGACACAACAATGGTGTTGGGAACTGTTGTAGACAACCTAACCAGGGAGGTAATGTTCATGGGTCTGCTCGGCCGCTTTGGCTCCACTCCATTTTTGGTTGGAGGAAGATATCCCTGAGGACAACCACAAAAAGGCATTGTGATAAACAGCCAGTCCAGCACATGAAACAATGAACTACAGATAAACGTTTCTATCTGAAATATTAATTTGTTGTAGGAGTCAAAAATGTTGATGAAAAGGCTTTAAGATGCTGAAAACAAGAAATCTTTTGGAAATCAAACAAGAAAGTGTCAAATACTTTGTATTCAGTTGTTTTGGTTTTGTACAATTTAAATTTTTTTTAATGTAATTTAATGACTCTAAAATGGTTCAACTGAGTATAAAAAATAATGAAATATTTTCCTTACACCACAGATTTGAGTATACATGTGTTCATTTGTCTGTCATTCGCAGATAGACTGAAAGATTCCTGCTGATTTGTGGCCAAAAATAAAGTCAGACTCACAGGGAGGTTACAGGGTTTTCCATTCACTTTCACACAAAGGTTGGGTGGGAAATGATCTTCCTGAGGACAGCTTGTCTCTGATAAGCAAAACCTGAAAAATATGTGTTGAGATTTCTTTAGGAATGTGTGGGAAAGACTTCCAAAACTCTCAGAAACCCAAACAAAAGAAAGCTCTAAAGATGAGGGTAGGTTAGCTTCAACACAGAAAATCAGAAAATAGACACAGCACATTCAAATACACAATATTCAACCTCACAGCACTTTGAACCAAAGAATTTGCTATTTTAAATGTTAAACACAACATTTTACATTATCATTAGATTTGGTGATAATACAAAACACGACTGATAGACTGCAACGGCTGGAGTTAAAAATCATCGTATGTGTTCTACTGAAGAAACAAAGTCACCTACATCTTGGATGACCTGGGGGTAAGCAGATAAACATAAAATTTTCATTTTTGGGTGAACTATCCCTTTAACAATGGTAGCAAGTAAACTGATACTCTTTAATTATTTAACTTATGTTTTTTAGTGTCAAAATGTTCCAGCTGCGCTTTGGAGATCTTTTGTTGAAAACTGTTGTCTTATCATACCTTAGCTGTACTTGCACGGTGAAGTCACATTTGGTCCCAGAGATGTCCCTTTTGAGACAAGAGGGTGGGAGTAAAGGAATGTGTGACAGAGCGTAGGAGAGAAAAGCATACCAAACATTCTACAGGACCGCTCGCTTGGGCACGTGTGATAAGCACTATTGTCTGCTATGTAAGAACAAGAGGAAGATATCTAACAAGACAAGATAAACTACTTAACAGCTGTTTTAAATTCAGCAGTTTTGCAGTTCTGGCTGAAATGTATTACAAGCTCAAAATTAGTTAGGTTATTTCAAGCACACGAACCATGTTACCTTGTCTAACTTTGTAATTTTATATCCCCCCACACTTACATTGAATTGCTGATCTGCTGAACTTGCTGAGGCGTTAGTGCAAACGCGAAACATGTTTCCTGAAACCTCTGACTGCTGTCTGAGGCTGTAAAACAAAAAGAGAGGAGACAATTCTAAAAGATAGAGAACTCATAACATCACTCTACTGAAGAAATGACAGAGATGAGACTTGAAGAACTCTGTGAAGGAAGGTCAGCCAAGCTAGTGAGTCATTTTCATTCCGAAAGTACATCAGTCGTTAAGACAAAAAATAAATAAATAAAATAAAATAGCTACAAAATAAAATCAAAGAATTTAAATACAAACATGAATAAAACGAAATTTCTACAATTACTACAATCAAATTAAATTGATAAAAATAATAAGGAATTCAAATGTGTTAACCATTTAAATGTGACTCTCTGTTGTTTGTCATTTCTCTGATCACAAATGCAGGCATGGTTTTATGCTTACACGGCGCGATGCAACGCTTGTGCAGTTTAGTTCAAAGCCAAACTCTACAACATAGCTAAAAATAACCTAGGGTTACATAACCCAATCTCCTTAAATGAAGCAAGAGTTTCAGGAGCAAGAGAGTGAGAGAGATAAGAGGAAGCTCTATCTGCACCACTACAGGTGCTCCACATCGCACACATAGGTGGCTGAACTCAATGAAAGAGACTGAAATGAGGTGCGTTTTCTGCACACTGACCACTTAGTCATGTGAAGAGGAAAATCTATTCCACTTGAAGTGCAGTGAGTTTAACAGTGAGAAGCTGGCAGATGATTAATCTGTACTCAAGAGGAAAGAGAGGAGGTGAGCCAATTCTCTGGTGCGCAAAAGATCCATCAACACTGGTTGCCCTCTCAGCTCAAACAACTCAAAATTCTCCAATCATTTTCATCACATTGACCTAGAAAGAATGTTCAATCCAAGGGGCTTCAACTCAATATGGGAGAAGGACCATTGTGTTTCCTGAAAGTTGCTTGAAAAGCAATTTGATGTTACAGGGTTCTTTGCCTTGCATAGCAAAAAGCACTTCTTATATAGCAATCTGCGCTCAAATTGAACTCTATAAGAGTGCTTGTAAGAAAATGAAACTTGAAATAAGGTAACCTGCTTCCACACTCCGAAATGAGCTAAGCATTAGTTAAGAACCTAGATTTGATTCAAACTGCACTCATTTCAACTCATTTTTGATTTATATTTATTCTGAGTCCTTACTTTGGCATTCATTTTCTTTTAAAGAATAAAATGACAGGCTTGCACTTGAAAAATCCACATAACAATAATAAATGTCCTGAAGTGAGAACACTAAGGCTAGTTATCTGAACATCTCACAGACCAAAACCAGAAAAAGAACATAACACTTAAACTTACTGAAGAGAGAACTATCAAAGCCAAAATGCATTAACACAGCCCCCTGTGCTTAATGACACATCCTTTCCATTGATATTGGACTTTTATTCTTAGCGTGAGCTGGATGACTAAATATAGCACAGATGGCCCTTGTCCAATCTGATAAGCCATAAATCACTTGAAGAGCACCTTTATGTTTGTATAGGTAGGGGAGGTAAAGTCTTCATGAGAGGCCTACATTTCTCATAAAGGATGTACAAAAAAGCGTAATGACCATGTCCCAAATATCAAAATGAGTCATTTCCATCCCTAAAATACATATTTTACAGTCACTGAGAACGGTACGGTTCGATTTTTTACCGAGAACCGTTGCACCCCTAACTGTTATGCACATTGACCATAAACACAGCTCAAAGGCTTCCTAATGGCCCTCCTTCACAAAACATTTAGCACAGTTTTATTACAGGTAGAATGCAAAATGTTTGAGTAAAAGCATTTCAGTCAAGTGTAATACATGCAATATTTCAAACCTTTAACCCATGGGGAAAAATCAACCCATGGCAACAGTTTAAAAGCAGCCCAATTCCGTGGAAAAAACAACCCTGCAACCAACAAAAGCTGCAGGAGTCACATTTGACTGATCACGGGTCGAGAGTAAGGAGAGATGACTGACAAGATGTTGGAGGATTTGCTCCTCAGATCCTGCGCTCATTGACAAATATCTTATATCGTAAGATGTGCTCCCTTTACAGAGCGCGCAGGCGATCGCGAAATTGAAAGTGAACTGTGACTGCAAGCGCTCATTCAAAAGCGATTTAAATACCCCACATATTGATAGCGGCTCCCTGATGCGCGAAAAATTATATACAATATTAGAATGTTTGCGGGAGCGGCCACAAAAATCGCGGGAGCGGATGGGAGCGGGAGGTAATGGTCAGAAATTCAGCGAGAGCGGGATCAAATAACAAGACCTGCGCTATCACGCAGCGGTGCAGTCAGTCAGTGAGCGCCGTAACAGATGATGTCTATAAATAAACTACACAGAACCCCACTATTCGGACAAATACACAATGAAAAGATGATACAAAATTTAATACCTTGAAAAATGGCATTTAAGACTTTTTAATACTTTTTAAGGGCCTTAATTCTCTCCAAATTGATTTATCAACTTTTAATACTTTTTAAGACCCTGCGGACACCCTGTAATAAAATTACACCTTTTCATTTCCTGACTTCAATGTCATTTTGTTTAAAAAAAAATTGTGAGAAAATCGAATCGTGAAATCAAAATCATGAATCGAATCAAATCGTGAGTTGAGTGAATCATTACATCCCTAATAAATACCATATAAAAATAAATATTTTCCAGAAAATATTTTAATATTTTGCCATGAATACAAATATATGACAAATATAAAAGTGAATTATTTAAACAAATCAATGTGGTTGTTGATTTAATAACTTAACACATTATTTAAAGTGGCGTAGCTACACATTACAAGTAATTACTATAGAAATAACAGTAAATTATGCATAATTACAAGTAACTAAGAAGACCAAAAACCCTAAGCCTAACCTTAAAGGGGTCATATGATGTGATTTCAAGTTTTCCTTTCTCTTTGGAGTGTTACAAGCTGTTCGTGAATAGATAAGATCCCTAAAACCGATGAGCTTTGAAAAAATCGACGCGTTTCAGTAAGGCAGGGCATAACAATAATAATGAAACAATAATGTACAGTATGTGGAAAATGTGTTTTTTGAACCTTAAACCGCATAAACACATTTCATTACACCAAATACACAAAATAATGTTCTTTTTAGCAACATCATATGACCCCTTTAACCATATACTATATACATGTAGTTAATTAGTATTACTCAATATCTATTTGTGTAATTACACTGTAATAACTTCTCCTTAAAATAAAGTGTAACCATAATTATTTCTCTCACACTATTACACATAAAAATATGGAGATAACTTTACATTTTAGGGTTTCACCATCTTTGGGGGTCCTCTTTGGTAGGGCTGTAAAATCGATTAAAATCGATATTAAATATACACACATATATTATGTAAATACAAACTGCTATTTTGGAAATGATTAATTGCGATTCATCAATTTTACAGCCCTACTCTTTGGCATCAGAAAGTTTGAAAACTCCTGGTAACTTTTATTGCAACTCATGAGAAAGACTGCAATACAGAGTGGCACAAAACTGCTTATGTTCATCCAGGACAAAGAATGATGCTTTAAAGGAGATGACTTTAGAGACAAACTGCTTGGAAATGGCTTTACCATGCTATAAACTCTCTGACAAGCTGCATTTCTAAAATCATTACTGTAAAAGCACTATTCAACCTTAATAATCAACTAGTCAACTGTTAGAGATCATTCCTGTTACTCACCTAAACTGGTGGGTTTGATAAGCTCATCGAGTACATCATAGAATGGCAGCCTTTGGAGCTTGACGTCTGGATGGACTGGGTGAAGGGCGGAGGGCAGATGGGGCAGGCCCAGCTCGTGCTTTGGCCCGAGCAGTGCGACAGGGAGTAGAGATGGTGAGCCATGCCCATCGAATCCCAGCTGTGTCAGGCTGGTGGGCATGCCAGCGGGAGCACCTCCAGTGGTGGAGTGTAGGCCAGGGATGGAGAGGTCTGTCGGGGACACCATCTTTGTGGGGAAGCGGCGGCGGTAGAGCTCCTTGATCTTCATCTGCACAGCAGGGCTGCAGCTGGCTTTCAACAAATGTAGCGCTTTGGTCAAGAGTTCATGCTTCCTTCCATGTTTGTTGCGGCCTGCATACCCCAGAAGAACCTGAAGCTCTGAGACACGGAGGCTCATCACCATTTGCTGTTTTAAAAAAATAGAAGAAACAGGAGTTAATTTATGCAATTGACAAAACAAATATTTAAGAAAGCACCTTAATAGGCTAAAGGAAACAGTTAACCCCAAAATGATGGTCCATTTTTCTATTTGGTTATTCCATAGGGGGGAAAAAATAATTCACATTGCATAGGAACAACCTATATGTCGCGAATCTGGTCCGTGGTCTTCAGTCTGCTCACCACCAGAGGTCGCCTTCTGATTACATTGACTCTCACACCACACAAACTGTTGCACGTCACCCTGGACTACATTTCCCATGCTCCATTGTACTGATTGGACTCACCTGCAGCCAATCACACACACACTATATAACAACCACTCAAATCTTTCTCTAATCGCCAAGTATTGTCTGCATTTATCACTCTCCTAGTGGTAGCACTTTACAGAGCTAGTATCCTGTCTGAGTTTAGTCTTGTTCCTAGTTCTAGTCCTGTTTTGTAATGTCTAGTTTTGCCCGATTGTCTGTTCCTGGCTGATAACCTGCCTGTCTTGGATTTCTCTCTCGTCTTGTTGTTTGGATTCTGCTCGCACCTCACCTGGATTAATATATCCGTCTGTGGATTACTTGCCTGCCTCATCCTTTGGATTATGTTCGCCGTTGATCGACCTACACCTGTTTATTGGATCACTCTTCTGTCTTGCCCTCTAAATACCTGTTTGCCATTGTCCGACCCTTGCCTGTTTTGAATATGTTTAAGAATAAAGCTTTGCAGATGGATCCGCACGTCTCTCGTCTCAGTCGCCCCGTTACACTATGGTTGAGTAAATAGTACAGTAAAAGAGTAAATAGTTGAGGGTTATTTTTTTTGTGTGAAAAACTAGCAATAAATAGTAACAACATAACACCATTCAAAAGTTTGGGGTCGGGAAGATTTTTTTAATGTTTTTGAAAGAATTCTCTTATGCTCACCAAGGCTGCATTTATATTAATTAAAATACATTAAGACCGTGATATTGTGAAATAATTGCAATTTAAAAGAACTGTTTTTTTTATTTTAATATATTTTAAAAAGCAATCTATTCCCCTGATGGAAAACCTGAATTTTCAGTAGCCATTACTCCAGTCTTCAGTGTCACATGATCATTCAGAAATCATTCTTATATGCTGATTTGGTGCTTAAGAAACACTTCATAATATTATCAATGTTAAAACGTTTGTGCTGATTTTTTTTCTTTTTTCTTGTGGAAACAATAAAACATTTTACTTTAATAAATAGGATTGTTTGATAAATAGAAAATTCAAAGGGAAGCATTTATTTAAAATACAAATCTTTTGAAACATTATAACTTCACTGTCACTTTTGATCAATTTCATGCATCTTTACTGAATAAAAATATATTCTTAAAAAAAAAACAACACCCCAAACTTCTGAACAGTAGTGTATTTTTTAATAGATTTTGCAACCCATTTGTACATGTTGCAACTACTGACAGACACACATCTCCAAGGTGCCTCATTGTTAATGGTGGTGATTTAATATGAGGTTATCCAGTCTGTTCGATAGGACCTATGATTTAAATGCCTTATTCACAATCTAGACTGGCAAAGACTAAATTAGCTTCAGGCTCTGTCATGGATGAGCGTTCATTATAATCCATAAATCATACACATAGTCATGCTGGTCAAAAGGCATGTCAGTGAGAATACAATCAGTTCAGTTTGCCAAATGCAGATCAAGTCAGGTTTTTGAGGGATTTTCAAGTAACATTTGCATTGTTGTTTTGCTTGTGATGCAGACCTGTAATTGTGACCTCATGTACAGCGTTTGACCAAACATTAACACCTACATGTGTGGGATCAAAGCCACTTCTCATGTGCAGACTTTACCTCCCATGTTGTTCTTGGATTTTCTGAGACTATAAAGGGCTGTGTTGGTGGTACCAGCATTTGGATTCTATTAAAATCTATGGGCAAGTAGAGAGGTGAAGAGGGTGAGATAGTGGGGGAAGGGAAGATCAAGCCTGAGCCTGGGCCAGTGAGCTTTCATAACAAAAGCAGTGGCGCACAGCTCCAGGGAAAACAAGAGAACCGCAGACCAACAGAGGCTCTTATTTCTCCACCTCGGAGCGACCAGAGTTCCCTCCCCAGTTTACTGCCAAGTGCCAACTGGACTGTTCACACAAATACTGACACAAACACTCTTTATTAATTTCCACCCACCCCACCTCCCCAACATAAAAAAACAGCTTCACTGCCAGTGCAGACAGATGATGAGACTCTTGCTCTCGTCCTATTGTAGTGAGGAACTTCCCCCAGTGTAAACCTAGAAGAGATCAAGAAGTTTGGTGATTCAAGAAGAACCCATGGGAAAGCCTGATCTTTCTGGTAAATCATAGCACGGTTTCAGAAAGTTTTTTCTTTCATACTTCTAAAAGCAAATTAATATATCCCACAACCTGTCCGAAAGCCTGGAAAAGAGAAACTCTTGGTCAACAGTTGAAGCCCATAGTCAACAGGAAGCAGAGAGAGCAGGGTGAAGGGAGAAAAAAAAAAAACTCCAAAGTTTAAACGGTTTATTAGGATGAGCTCATTCTCTTCATGAGGGCCCAATAACCCTGTGAAGAAAAAGGAATAGGAAGTGGACCCTGAGCTATGTAAAAAAAAAAACCTTCCTGATGATTAAGCAAGCAGGCATCTTTATGTGATTCTAAGGAATCCTAAACTTCATGAATGTTCACAACTACAGGCCAAGTCCACCTGCACTATGTTCAAAAGTTTGAGGTCGGTAGAATTTTTCAAATGTTTTTGAAAAAAAAAAAGTATCTTATGTTCACCAAGGCAGTAATATTTTGAAATATTATTACAATTTAAAATAACTGTTTTCTATTTTATTATATTTTAAAAATCCAACTTATTCCTGTGATGGCAAAGCTGAATTTTCAGCATCCTTTACTCCAGTCTTTAGTGTCAGATGATCTTTCAGAAATCATTCTAATATGCCGATTTATTGCTCAAGAAACATTTTCATTGTTAATGTTAAAACAGTTGTTCTGGTTAATATATTTGTGGAAATCATGACATATACTTTCATGATTCTTTGTTTAATAAAAAAAATTTAAAAAGAGCAGCAGCTATTTGAAATACAAACCTTTTGTAACATTACAAATATCTTTACTGTCACTTTTGGTCAAATTAATTCATCCTTGCTGAATATAAAATCTCAAAAAAACTTTTGAACAGTAGTGTTTGAAGCATAACTCTAAAAACAATTTACACTCTACTGTCATCTCTCAATGATACAGATACCTATGGGAAATGGGGTCTTGGGTCTGTAAACATAGTACTTGTCTAAATATACCTCTACAAACAGCAGGATGCTGAACACAAGATTTCTACACAAGCTAAGTGAACTAGCAGCTATAGAAACAAGTACCATAGGTCATGAAAAAAGTCCTCCTAAAAGCCGCAGTGACTTTGTGTGTTAAAACAAACAAAATTCAATATGCTGAAAAAGAAACTGACATTTATAAAGAAAAAGATACCTCGCAGAAAATATTAAAAAACAAGGGTGGCCAACGCCGGTCCTGGAGAGCCACAGTCCTGCAGAGTTTTGCTCCAACCTTGATAAAAACTCAGCTACTTGTAGCTTTCTAGTAACCCTTAGACCTTGATTAGCTTGTTCAGGTGTGTTTGATTAGTGTTGGAGTGAAACTGTGCAGGACTGTGGCTCTCCGGGACCGATGTTGGCCACCCCTGTATTAGAAAAACAAGATTGCATTTAATCAAAGTACTGAAAGGGACCTCAGATGAATAATGACACTTATCTTCTATAGAGATGCTTTATTTGAACTGAGTTTGTTTCATAACTAATGAATTTTGCAACATTGGAGTTGAATAATGACACTATGGTCTCTTCAGAGATGCTTTGCAGCTGAAATTGTATTCATTTCATAACTAAAGAACTTTGTAACCTTAATAATGCTATTTTTCTGTTTATTACAGTGAAGCTGCTTTGAAACTATCAGTATTGCATAAAATGCTATAAAGGTGAATTGATTTATATAAATTTACCTGACTTTAGATTTTATTACATTTCCAAGCTTAGATATCACCATTTTAAGGTTTCATGTAATATCACGGTTTCAGAGGGAACCCAGCATGTTGCTAAACTTTATTACATGATCCACTGTTTAATAGCCATAACAATAATTTGTGCTCAGACTAGGGCTGGGCGATACGGCCTAAAAAAAATATTCCCAATTTTTTCACAAAAAATCCGATTTACGATTTAAATCAATTTTTTCGATTTCGATTTTCTATTTTTTTTAAATCAATCTGCAGATGACAAAGAAATCGTTCAAAACAAGTTTAAACTTTATTTTGTTTTGATTTTCCCTTCTGGGATTTGATCTGGATTCCCCCCTTGGGGTTAAAGTGCAAACAGAAACAACAAGCCAAAAAGACAAGATGGCAGGCCCTGCCATTGTAAGCAGTGAAAATGCAACATAACGTAACATAACATAAAATGTACATAACATTGTTATCATACCGGATACAGTTTGTAAATGTTTGTAAGACTAGGTCAGTGGTCTTCACTATTTTTTTCATGGGAGCCGCACTGATAGGGCAAAGTCAATCAGAGAGCCACTTTTACCGCGAAGTATCAAAAGTTACATCTAGTCATAAATAGCATGTCTTTTTATCAATCAGTCATCCTTGATATGCAATGCAATGCAAAAGGGGCCATCATTCTATATCATTTACCAGTCAAATTTGTAACTGAGACAAGATGATTTAAAAAAAAGCAGGATTACCTTAATGCTGGAAAGACCTTAAATTATAATTTTTTTTTTATACTAGCCCATCATGTATCTAACCATCCAAGTGCACATTCGGCGTTAAGAGCTGTTAAGATTAAAACTGGCAACTCCGCAGTGAGTTAGTGTCATGGACGTAGGACAGAGAAAGTGTAAATATCTTTTATAGTCTATATTTTCATCTTGTAATGCCGCTGTTTTAGTTTTTTTTTTTTTATATATAAATTATTTGTAATAGAGCAGACATTGTCTGACCGTGTCTACACACCAGACGCGGCGACAGTTGCTTCTGTTTGAGGTGCTGCAGTAAATTGGTCGTACTGCTACCTTTACTAGCAAC